AACCTACATTCACTCCTCTACCAATATGGATGTAGCCACTAGTTCTGTAGATAAAGAGTAAAAATCCATCAAACTTAATACGAATATCATAAAATATTCTGAAATCTTTAAGATAAAAGCATCTGGAGTAAATTCTGAGATCTCATAGAGAATCTATCGCATCATTAAAATTTAAATTTATATTTAGAAAAAAAAATTAATCATAAGAGATTTATAGATTTTATCTTTAAATTGAATAATCATAAATAGACTTTTATGAATATTTTAAAATTTCTTATATTGATTCTTTTGTATAACTGGAAAATAAAAATAAAATAAAATGTTACATTTATGTTTAAGGTGACTGTTGGATTTATAAAAGCGTAAGATTACTTTCGCCAGCCAAAAAATACATCTAAACGTTAGATCTNATTTAAATTTATATTTAGAAAAAAAAATTAATCATAAGAGATTTATAGATTTTATCTTTAAATTGAATAATCATAAATAGACTTTTATGAATATTCAGAAATGAGAGGAATTGCTGATCCGTGAAAAGATCAGTAGAAGGCCTACGTTCACTTTCTGCTTATAGCTCCCTCTGTTGCCGAAAAATATATGTCCTTTCGGCATTACCCATTGCAGATATTCAATTTATTCGATAGAATACTTCTAATTGAACGGCAGCTTTATCTTACTTAATTTATAATTAAAATAGATAGGTCTATATATTTTAAAATAAAATTTTTTATAATCGAAAAATAAAAAGTAATATTGTTATCGCAACTTGTCGCTAACTACAGCTTTAAATAGTACAGATTTGTAAACTTTGAACTTTCATACAGTTTACTATTACCGATGAAATTCGAAGATGTCGACTTCTGGTACCAGTTACTAGCAGCGATGACACGACTCCTATACAAAGTTTCTGTACTTCCTAAACTGTAATTCAAAACTGCAATAGTAGCTTTAAAATTCTTTCCTTTTTTTTAATTGCTTCGATCAATCTATGTTTAAGAATTTAATATATCTAGGGCCTCGTTTAGTAGCTTTTTAAAATATAAATTTATACCCTAATAAGTCAATTTTTATCCAAAATGTAATCAAATATATACTATAATTTCTTAAAATAATTAATATCTAATCGCAATCCTAAAATCATATGGAAAGTTTCGTAAAGAATATGAAGAATTAATAGACAAGTTATGAAGTAGGAAACACGCGCGTTTTTAATGCATTAAATGAAAGAAATTTCTTGATGTTTATAAAATCAAAGAGTAGGCATTGAAGGAGAGAAAGCAGACTTTGGACATAAATGCCCGAAGGCCCATCAGGCCAGTGCATAGAACTAAAGTAAAAGTTAAGTTGCACGCGACAGAATTCTCTAGCTCAAGAGATGGATAATAAAACGAAAGCGTTTCTAATCGGATTGTTGTTCTTTAAAGAAAACTTTAGAAGTCACTTAGTGGGTGGGCTGTGTTCTTTTATTGTGACTGACTCAACCCACTTCTCTGTACTAAATCTAGCAGGAGATTGTAATGGTCGATTCACCTATAGAAACTCGTACACAATGATAGCCATCCTCCGCCTTTTTTCGGATGAGATATTTAAAATTTCCTCCGCTCTTTTTGTTTTTTTGTCATTTTCTACGTAATGGGAAATTTATTTCATTGTATCTTCAGCTAGTCCCATTCGAAATTGATTGTGGATTGCACTGAAATTTTATGAACTTAGTCGCATCGATTTTCTGTAAGGCTACGCTTTTTATAATATTAAAAGTGTAATTAAAACATTCGAATAAACACTTAATGTTTTTCAGGCTCGGAAGAATTTCGAAACGACGATTTAATATTATTTAAATGAAGAGAAACGAAATTCTTCGTGCTTAACTAGCAACAGTGCTTCATCCATCTCCACGTCATTAATGGGTCTGAATAAGGTCTAATGTCCATTGTCATGGTTGATGAAGACTTCAAGAGAACTGACCATCCATTTTCAGTCCATTGTATCAGATAGGTCTAGACAGAAGACGATAACGTACTCCATTTTCTTTAGTACATTTTTTTACCACCCCACAAAGGCTACACCTCATCATATACTAGAGAGTAATACCAGCAGATACAATTTTTGGGTGTGTCTTCAGCCACTGGAAGCTTACCACATGAAGAACGATTAATATTTGATAAAGTGCGTGAGATGTACTCCAACATACAGACTCTACACAAGATGCCGTGATTAGTAGAGTTTCTAGGTTCTACCAAGAGATTCAACACACCCAAAGGTGATCCGTATGATAGCGGACACTATAGTGAAGAGTCGAGAGAAAAAAGTACGTTTCTAAGTGATCGTCAACCTCTGCCCAAGGCTGTATGTAGTTGGATAGTGACACAGTAATAGGTCGTTTGTGAAGGGTGGGGTTGCTAAGTCCGGATCTGTGGTGCACACACCTGCGTGCAGTGGCTGCTGCAGGCTTTCAGACCATCACACCCGCACAATGTCACGTGGTAGAATGAAGATTTTTGCATCGGCAATTCTATAGTTTTTCGCGGAAACTTATAAAATAAAAATCGATATTAAGCGCAAATTTGCTTCTTCGAAGTGAAAAAAAAACAGCTAGTTTAACGTTAATTAAATCTCTTCCTCGTTGAATTACTGTAATAAAAACAGGCGAATAGACTCAGATAAATCTTTACAAAAATTCGCAATTAAAATTTTACATTTTAATTGCTGACGTTAATCTTGAGAATGTTAAATTCTTCATTTATAAGAGTACACCTTAATTTTTTTTATAAACCTACACTCTCTGAATTAAAATCGTCGACGGACCTATTAACTTTATGACCCAAATATTTATGTCACGATTAAGAAATCTGACTTTAATTCTACTTAATCTTAACTTATTTGGTAAAATTTAATTTAATGAATTGTTGTTTAGCGTTCAGTATAAAGAGGGAAACTAGCGCTATATCGGGTATAGCCTATGGTATCATTTTTATTATTTGAGTTGTAATTTAAAAAAAGCCTTTTAATAAATCATTTTTTAAGAAAAATTTATAAATTACGAGTTGATATTTCCGATCTGAGATAAAAATATATTTTATGTTTCGGGTAGATGTTGGAAAAAAGAAACAAATTTCTAGAACACGAACATCAATTTTCGTGGAACCTCCCGCCTTCCATTAAATCATTGTTTAACAGTCCTATACAAGACTAGAAGTTGCTTTATAAAAGGGAGTTTCATATAGATTGAATCGAAATATCCATTACTAAAATGAGATTTCAAACAACTTGGGTGGAGTAGGGATGATCACGCATCCACCAACTTCCAATGGAAGCAGTGATTGTCACAAGATGTAATTAATTTCTGCATAAAATCAAGTAAATTGAAGCATACCCCTCCAGTCTAAGTACAGATAAAGCACAATGCGCTATTGGTTAATCGGTTGACGACGTTGATCTTCTCATTGGTCGATTACAATAATGTTATGTCCGACTTGATTTGTTCGAATATAAAATGGTTTCCAGGTAACGATTATGCGTGACTCTTTCGTGGCACATTTAATAGATTGCGCTTGTTTATAAACTAATTACATAAACGAGTTGCTTTTGTGTATTTTGACAAAAAAATTTATCTCTGTTTGACAACACAAGAGGTATTTTGTTAAGACAGGTAATCGTTCTTCCGCGGGATATTTATTACTCGTGGGTGTGTTTGTTGAAAAGAATTGATTTAATGTTCCCATTCTCCTAATTTATTTTCTTCACCAGCGATAAATGTAGCTAAATTCATTACGATTTTGCATTTCTCACGAGAATTAACATCGATAGGCCGGCCTATTTCTATACTAAAAAATAAGCGCTAAAATGCTTAATTTTGACTTCTAGATTTGTGAGAGATAGACCTATCAAAGAATTTTTTAAAAATCTTTTAAAGATCTCTTTCCTTTACGACACTTTTCGAAGTTGTCGTGCCAACTTTTTATATTAAAACGATTTTTTCTGCCTGATATACAAGCTCGATGTTGCGATAGGGTTCCAACTAACCTATCTGATCATAAAGATGATATAGAATAAATCAGAACAACACTTGACGATATAATATTGCCTAAAGGGTATTTAGTCATGTGAGAAAATTCTTTTTTTTATAGAGAACTTTCTATACTATAGACTTACGGGAGTTTGGTCTGATTTAAGAGCTTCCGTACGGGGGTTGTTTTTAAGTTTACGATGGAATAATTAATATTTTATAATCACCGAACCGATACGTTTTGAAATAATGGATAACACGTGAGCCAATCTTCAGGTAGCCGACGAAGCATTAAAAAAAATAACAATATATCGCAAGATTTCCTCTAGGCGATTTTCGTAGAACAGCTCCTACAGAGACGCTATCCAGTCAAGTACAATAACATACAATCCATAAGACGGGAGTTAGAAGACATCCCGCAGAGAAGACTGAGTGCAACTGGAAAGACCAACACCCAGTCGAACAATAGGTACATTTAGAGCGCAGTACAATTACCAGTTGACACAACTGGTACTTAACACACCCGCCGTCTATCCATCTTTCACTAAGAGGAGTAAAGAATGCCGAGCTGAATTCCAAATCGTGGAATTAGACCAATTTCAGTTATATTTTCTCTCGTTACGGAATTTACGGACCAATAATATACAAATGGTGTGGGGAATTACAAGAAAAAGTTTTCATGGTCACAATGAATAGGCATTAATAGAAGAATAGGCGCGACATCCAGTAGTAAATACTATCATTTAAGCTGACGTAAATATAAAAAGGTGGGGATGCAATCAAACAGTTTTAATTATTTTTCAGAATTTTACCCGCAGGGTGCTTCCAGGAAGAATATCGCAATACAATTAAAACAAACGGAAAGTAACAATGTCGAAATGTAAAAAAGCTTCGTTAAAACACTAAGCTATTAACTAATCATTAATGAAATAATAAAATAGCTATTGTTGTGTTCGTGTGTCTTAAATCATTTAATTCAAATGTACAGAGTCAAATAAAACAAACGTTTTGCTACAGTAACGATAACGTCTACATATTATCTTCAGTAGTTTGGCGCTCCCCTCCAAAACTCGGTTGTCCTTCTAGCGCGCTTCGGCCATCTATTCAATATCATATAAGAATTAAACGTGAACTATTAATCGACCAACCCACGATGAGAATAAGTTTCTATCTGTACATCTATCTCCATTACTTCAAGTCACGCCGCCAGATGGCTACGCGTGAGGTCTCGTGACCCTGCCAGGTGTTCAATCTCTTTACCCACAGTCTGGGCCTGCAGCATCCTGTAGCAGCATCCTTAATCCTGGTTAAAATCCGTATTTCCGTCCAGGATTAAACACTTATTACTCTATTTAATGAGCCAAACTACGTTGTTTTTTACATCTATAGATTTTTATTACTCTCATACTACAATTGTTCTAATCATTATAGAAAGTAAAATATGCCAAGAAAGCTACACCTCTTTAAGCATAATGAACAACAACAATAATAATAATAATAAACACCAGCCATCATCAGAATCTGTACATTCCATACATTCTATATACAAGAGCAGTCGAAGTTCTGGTGTTATTACGAAACAGCTGGATTAGTACTGGAAGAAACTACATTTTCTAAATGTCGGAGACTGTGTGTCAGGGTATGACGCCTCAGATCGCAGTTCCTACGGAACACTTTGCCACACGAATGGCAATTATAAGGTTTGATGTCCGTGTGGGTCAGGAGGTGGGTTTTGAGGTTGCTCCTTTGGTTAAAGCTTCTCCCGCAAGTAGGACACTTATGTGGGGAGTCTTCCATGTGAAGGATCCTGTGGACAGCTAAAGTACGAGACTGACAGAAACCTTTACCGCATTCGCTACACTTAAACGGTTTCTCTTTGGAGTGAATATACCTACGAACAAAGAGAAAAAATACATATGTATAATATATTAAATTTTGTTTATAAATAATAATAAATTTATACAGACAAAGTTTACATATTTAATAATATAAAAGTGGCGAATTATTGCGCATTTTTACGAGGGTTATATTGATTAAACATAAAATGGGTCAAAGGATAATGTAATCAATGAGCATGAAATAGTTTCGAGTTACCACTCAGTGGGAAACACGGTGTATAATTGCCAGGGCAATAATGGAGTCAACAAGTATCGTAAATAGTCACGCAACGTGTTTGTCCCTTAGGTGTTTGTCACATCCTCTGCTACGATGGCAATCTGTATAATCTTTAGTGCCGGAAAATTAGTCCAATGAAAGAAGATTTAAGAATTTTACTACGAAACTAATTTAGGGCTTCATTCAAGCCGAAATTTTTTACGGGTTTTTCACATTCATGAATTGTAAGAAAAATTATTTAACACGCATTAATTATCTTATTTTTATAACTATTACACGAACAACTGCTTATTATTTAATTTTACGTGTCTTTTTATTTGTTACCTTGGCAGAATTTGCAATAGCAGACTCCCGCTGCGACAGAATTGTAAACGGTTTACGCATCAGACCGTTACCAAAAACGGTACAAATTGAACAAATTTAACGTCGCTTGAAATATTTTTAAAGTATATCAATCGCATGAATAATTTATAAAAGGATTAAAGTGGAAAAAAACACCAGTGTAACGCTATGTGAGAGTACCTCAGTTATTCGAACGTCAGAATTTGCACAGTGATGTCACGTTACGACAGACCAGAACGTGTCCCGTGACACATCGTATCAGCAGTCACATATCTTAAGAGATAAAAATCTTCTCTTTGATTTATTTATTAACTTCCCCGCAATACCATTAAGGGGCCTGGAAGGACGCGAAACATTGCATATTTTTATTTAATGTCTTACGCAAATGACCGTAAAATCTAAATTTCCCATTAAGTTATACAAGATATTTCTTCACTAATCTCGAATTTGTAAAAACATAAAATAATAAGAAGGAAGTTTTACTTAATCGACCCTTTCGATTCCGTTTAGAGATGGGAAGAAACCAATTTAAAATAAAATTAACTAGCTAACAATTGTTTATCTAACACAAATGACGAAATCTTTTGTTTAAAATATAATTGCCAAAAATTAACTTTCAGAAAATATGATGGGGTGTTAGAATAATTAATTATTTCGTCGACGTCACGCATACATTTGCATAATAATGAGCTTGTAAGCTAAAGCAATAACTTATTAACTTTTATGTTGAATTAACGGGTAAAAAGCCATTAAAATTATTACGATTTTAATATAGAACCGTATAATTTATATTTAGATCTACTTAAAAGTCGATAAGTACTTACTTCTAAATGTCAAGCAGCAAGTATGCAAACCAATGGCATAATCTGTTTCATATTGGTTTGCTTACTTAACTGCTTTCTGCTTAGTGTTTAATGCAAATTATAAAATCATTTCTATAAGTAATGGATTTGTGACTAGAAAGAGGCTGTTAGTTGCAAGCTATAAGCCCCACCATTTAGATAAACAGTCATACATTATGTATAAGATTGGATTAAGATAAATACGAGTGGTTACAATAGACTTTTGCCAACTAATGTTTTGTATTTTTGCATAATTTTCTTTTAGTTTCCTCATTTTAATTTTTTTAAATATTCTTTAATTGGTAATAAATTGAGAATAAAGTTATTTCTGGTAAAATTTGTACCGCTTTGGTGAAAATCAACCGGTTGAAAAATGAATGTGTTCAGTAACAGGTGAAGATATTACGTAGAGTTAAAGCCTTATTCCTTTTTATAGGTATAAAAAATGAAAGGGGAGGCGGTAAAAAAAGGATGAAATATATTGTTGGTGAATTTTTCTTGGGTCGAGAATGGATTAAAGAGAGTAGGCTGTCATGTGCCATTAAGGAAATCACTCCGGCCACCATAACGACGTGTTAACTTTCTCCGCTCGTCCCCATTAACATTAGTAGTGGCAAGCTGGCAGGTTGCCAGTCCGAGTGATGTCATTCGCTCGTGTCCGATTTGATTGGTCGTTGCCTCCGCTCGCCCATTCATATAATGCATCTCTGGACAACGCCACCCTTTGTCCGCTTGTAAATTGGTTTTGCTTACTTAAAATTTAATTAAAGAATTCGTTAGAGATGCGAATTTCCTTTTTCTCATTAATTTGTGAGTTCAGATCTGGCCGCCATCCTCTTGGATAATTGACCAGAAGGAATTTATTAAAGTGAAACCACGCTCCATTTAAAAATTAGTAATTATTTTGTAAAGGATACTTCTGAGGTTTCCAGATTTTAAATTTTGTTGAGAATGGGGGATTAAAACGCTCGAAATTTACCTATCTTAACGTTAAATTAATTAATATCTTTTTATGAGACGTTGTAGAACAGTCTCACAGTCTTACCTGTGGTCTCTCAGGTGATCTTGCCTCCTGAAGGCTTTGTGACAGATGTCACAAGTGTAAGGTCGTTCGTCAGTGTGGGTTCTTTCGTGAATTAATAAATTGTAGGATTTAGTGAACCTGCGTTGGCAATATTTGCAGATAAACTCCTTCTTTGGTCTAGAGGACACCCTTCCTCTATAGTACCTTCTATCCAGAAGAGACGAATGATCGGGAGGTCTTCCAAACAGTACACTGGTTGCTAGGGACGGAGCATAAACCGGACCCACATATAATGGACAGGGCGAGGAATATGCTGACTGGTCGCCGTATCCCGTATGCACGTCTGGTTCTGTTGCTGATTCGGCTAAGTGGGCAAAGTCGAATTTCTTTTTTGCCGGCTTGGCACGAAATTCTTGTAGACCAGATGAGGTAGAAGGAAGAAAGGTGGTAAAAGCCGACGCCTCGGAATACGGACGAAGTACAGGTAGAGGTAGCAGAGGTACGGGGACTAATGGCTGAACGGGTGGTGACGACTGGGGTAACATGGTTCCTTGTTTTAGTGCTGCACCCGGTGGAGGGCTGCTGTGTTGACTGGTTGGAGTGAGAGGTGGTGTAGGAAGAAACCTCCGATCATCTAAGAAAGAAACGAATCGTTTATTAGTTTTTTTTAATAAATACTAATTCCGTATACTCATTCTCGTGTAAATTCTTCGATGCTAATTTTTATTGAAAAAAATATTATTTATTAAATCTACATCTATAGAAGTTGATAATCGAAGAAATTAAGACCGTCCCGAGAGGTTGAAATCCTCCAAATTAACGAAAAAGACTTAGTAGTGAATATTTATTCACATTTAATATCCCGCTCATGAACACGAAATTCCCTCATCAAATTGGCAGAGCGTAGATTATTCAGTTAGATTTTTATCTTTATTGTTCGACTAGAAGTCTTTCAGCTTCTAAGGTAAATAGAATACTTAAATTATGTGAAGATTTAAAAAAAAAGAATTAAATTTTTTTAACTTTTTTCGTCTTAAGATCGGTTTAAAAAGAAGGGAAATTCCAATATTTAGGCTACATATTATTAAGCTGTATAAAGATTATACTTGTGTGAAAACCGTATTAATTCACGGAAAATCGATTTTGTAATTAATGCTTAAATTATTTTAAAAATATTCAATTTTTCTATTAAGCGGGCACGTGTTCTTAGATCGTAAAATTTTGTTGGTTCCAAAGCACTTTAAGCGGCTCATTATAAAACAGCTTAGATCGGTTGATCCTACAATGCTGACAATTTCTGTCTAGGAGCAGGATGTCCTGCAGGATTAATCCTAGTCGTAGCACGTGACCCGAACCACACCCAGACATTAAATCCGGGAGAACCATACCGGTGTCGGACCAGCAACTCCGCCTTATTGGTGAGAAAGTAACCTCTATGCACGCGACCATAGCCCCCGGCTGAAAAGCGCATCTTATACATACTCTTCTCTCCTTTCTCATGCGATGCTCATGAATGGTAAGCAAACTCAATCTACGTATCCTGTTAAACGACGTCACACATTGACGAGAAGCTCCGTCATAACACTTTTAGTGTCCTAATACTAAACGAAAATATAAATTTTTGACAAGATCTCTACAGTAGAATATAATATAAAAATACTTTAGCTAAAAGTGAGTTTAACTGCACAGAATTAAACATTAATTTATAATACATCCTTCTAATTAATTATAAATTTATAAAAGCTAAATATAAAAATATAATTAAATATAGATTTATGAAGAGAATACACGAGATAAAAATGTGAATCGTAGACGATATTCTCCTCTATGATTCAGAAATTTCTTCGGAATCTATTTGAATTTTTTATAAAATATAACTAAATATTCATATTATATTGATAAATGGATAAACTTATATTTACTCTACGAAATTATATAAAATAAATATATAATTTATAATCCTCTTTAAAGTATCGTAAATGATATTTTCAGTAGTCTCTAATAATTTATCATATGTTCATCTCATTGCTCTAGTCATTTACGACTGTTGAAGTTGCTGATAAAGCTAAATTAATGGGGAAAACCCTAAATACTAGGATTTTCCATTATTATTAGTCTTATTCAAGTGATGTTTTACTAAGAATTCCTTGTTATAAATAAATTAAGAGACGTTAGAGTTAAAACATTCTCCTACTTTTCTGTTTAACAATTTTGCTGAACTTCAAGGGGGTTTTGGGGTTTACTCCCCTATTTGGGAAAGTTACATTTTAAATAATAGCTTATTTATTTACCCCATACGTCCAGTACCTTCCTAGTCTACTCTATTACTAAAAACTATGAAAAAATAATGTTTTTCAATTCAACAATACTAAATGAAGAAATATAATTTCATTCTATTATATAATATTAAATTTATAGTTAACATTTTTCAGAAAAGGGGCTATTCATTGATTAGAATTAACCATTTTCGCTAACAAACCTAGGCCTATAGTAAATTATATTAAAATATACTTTCTTAATGACTGTCGATTGTCTCGAATAACTATTTTATTGCATAATATTAAAATTTCCAGACCAATATAATAATTCCATTGATGATATAATAAATAAAATTATTTTATAATATTTTAATATAAAATTATAGAAAATGTAGAGGAATTATTGTCCAAACAGAATATTAAAAGCTCAATATGATACATTGTAACAGTATGGTAATTTAAGATGGTTGGTGGCTTAAGAATTTGGCACAAGAGCCTCCTGGGCCAAACTGCCTAATTCAAGTTATTTGGCCAATAATTTAGATGAATTTTCTGCTTGTGCTTAGATGTTTTCATAGAAAAATTTGAATGGAAAATAACAAATTCTGTCATTACAGATAGAGTATGTTTTTCATTAACGTAATGACAGGCTTTTAAATGTTTAATCAGTGATAGTAATTAAAATTAATATTCGAACCGAATGTGGCATGGTTAAACATTCAAAAACCAGTTAGGTGAATTGATAGGACGAAACGTGATTTGGGAAATTTAAGCGTAAACTGCATTAAACAGATAAAAAGCATAAGTTTTAATTCGTCCCTCCTTTATGAATTTCTTAGAAGATTTGTATAAAACATCGAAATTAAAAAAAAAAAAAAAGGAACCGGTCAACGATCTAATTACAAGTTATTAACAATTAATTTTAATGACTTAATTCATTAGAAAATATTTTTGAGTGCTCAATTATAGGCGGGAGTGCCTTTAAGAATACAAAAGAATGAGAGATGTTGCAGAGGTAGGGAGAAAAAAACAAACAAAAAAAAGGCAGTGTCAATTCTGGGTCGTTAATGTATAATTCCCTGTCGGTAGCCGTTCCACAGAAGCAGTCGTTTCTATACTTTCTAAGATGTGTAGTTTTGCTTTACACCTTTGTGGGCGAGGAGGGCCGAGCCAGTAATAAATTCAAATACCGGCTTCAATGCATCGTGTACTTTGTATTAATGCCCTCCGTGTTCTTGCGGGGAATGAGAGAGTAATTGAACCAACCAAATTGTTTGTTAGATAAATTAAGTTATTGAATATCATTGTAATAATGTTTATTTGAATAACAACTAAATGCTTATTAAGTGTGCGGCACACGCTTCGTCTTTTATTACTAGTATAAGAATTGATTTACTCCTGCAGGCGGGCCTTCTTAGGTTATTGGCCTAACATCTTTCTATAGTATGCAATTAATTTCTTAGATGTAGAATGATGTATATAAATAAAACCTTAAATTTTAAATGAGTTAATCATTTATAAGGCTTGTATTTTCCGAATTTTCAATTTTTTTTTCTTAACATACTACGTATATTACGAATAGAGCTAGATATAGGCACAAGTTATAAGTTACCTGATTTTTAGTGCCTGGATGTCCTAGCCTTAATTATGATAAAAGGCACAAGAATTTATATTATGTTAATGAGCTAAAATTAAATTTTATTTTCACATTTATGTTGACCTATTTCAAATACTAAAACGAGAAAGGCTCGACCGAATGATTTTATAATGAAAATTTTGATCCTGTTATTATACATAAAGGAAGTTGCAAATGCAGCAGTAACATTGTTGGATGCAATCGTAAACAATGCACGTGCTACGAGACATATTTCACTCATATATATTTAGCCTATATCCCAGTTTATGTAATTATTCATTTATAAAACGACTATTCAGTAAAAATGGAGTAAAATTTCCTTTAAATGTTAAAATCTGAGTCGGTTTTCATGAACATAGAATAGAAGACAGATGCTGCCTATAGAAAGAAAAGACTATAGCGAGAGACATTGTGTGTGTGTATGTATATATATATATGTATGCATTACTCTAATAGACAGAAGAATGCCAGATAGGAACGTCGTTATAATAATCGTGTGTTATTCAACTTGGATCTAGAATGATGAAGTTGTGTCCAGTGTGTGCGCATGGCTTGATTGAGAAAATAGTAAATCGACCATGCACAACTGAAAGTCTTTCACAAGGCTAGTTTCCGGCCTTTGTAAAGGGTTAGAAATACAAAAGATAACCAGAATAATATCTATAGTCTTAAATGAATGATAGAAATTTGAAAAATGTCTCATATAAAAATTTTATCTTTATTTATAACAATACAAGATTTCGTTTTAGTGTTTATTCCCCTGCAAATGTTTAAATATCTGTTTCGACTGAAATTGAAATTGGGTTTATAAATATAAACATTTCAGTTTGAAGATGTTTAAATATGGAACATTTCACCCATTTTAAACCCATCTTCCAGTCTTTTAAACCCATCAAACCACTATAAATGGGATTTAAATAAATATAAATATATAATTGAGCTTCGAGGATTTTAATTACTAAAATCAACCTTTACTTCTATTAACGGATTTTGGGGACCCGGGTTCGAGTCCGGGCGATCGAAAAACCACAAAGATTTTTCAGGGATGATTTTCCGGATATGTTGAACGAGTGTCCCACCATCCAGCTGTCCTATTGTGGGCCTGACCGAACCCATAATGGGCCTTAAAAAGGCTTTTTAGAACTCAAAGGGAGAGGAAAATACTTCTATTAAAAATTTATTGTTTTTAAAGTAATTTCATGAAAATTAAAGCTTTTCTTCAGCAAAAACATGGCTATAAATAGGAGAGATTATAATTACATGCTTTAATGGCTTATTTATATGGTGCTCATAATAAAATAAATTGTGAATACAATCTTATTTCTGAAAGAATTTTATCTTAACACAAAAAAAGACATAAGAAAACCTATTACATGTCTAATAGGCTTATTCGATATATGCTATAATCTAGTAGACTTTAGGCTTTATATCCTTATTTACAGATGCTTTATGTGTAGATGTAATAAGGTAGATGCTTTTTTATTCTTGGTTTATAAGTTGTTTAGAAACAACAATTGTAACTATAATCTTTACAGGCTATAGAAGCCTGTACAAGTTTTTAATGTTATGAAGTTATGTTTAGCTCCGAATATTGGGAATTACTCAGGCTGAGAAATTTAGGCCTATGCAAGTATCTAAGCTTCGATAGGACCTGTGATGTTTAAAGGCGTGTTTAGAAAATGCAAGAATGACCGATTTGTAGAAATAATATAGACTTTCTGTTCTTATCTATAAATTCGACTACTCACATTTCGTACGTGGAAGCTGCAACTAATAGGATTTTTATCAAGGAAGTTCAAACTTAAATGGAACTAAATGCTATCGAAGTTATTTTTATAACATTTAACAGGCCTAAACTTAAATCAACCTTTGAACTTTGTAAATTTTTCATTTATCTACGCTTTATCTACATAATAATATTTAAAGATTAATTTTGAAAATAAATTAAATTAATTTTATTAATAAAAGAAGTGATATTCTTACGATTTTCATTTCAGGAAGAAGAATAATTTTTGGCCTTGTTAAAGAATTAGAAACACAAGAATAAACTTTCCTATTTATTTGTTAATTGTCTTTTATATATTTCGAAAAATGATATTACATTATAAAATATAATGCCGTTATAATGACAATGCTGAATTTTAATCCCACGCGTACAGCATATCACCATTGTTTTCAATCAAATTTCTAATTACAATAATGAAAATATCAAATAAAATTACTTTTATATGATAGTAAATATGCTAAATATGCAGACTGATTCATAATAAACTTTCCTCTAGGTCTACGATTTAAAGAAACTTCAATATTTTTGGAAATAATTCTGTAATATTATAAACGACGGAAGAATAATGGATAAGTTTTACTTCTTTTTTTAACTGAATTTATATAAATATTTAATAATAAATACTTTAATTTGATTACTTAAATTTTCAATAAAAAAATTTAAAATACTGTAGCTTACAAGTTCGTGACACTTACCTAATATTCGAGTTGAGGTCATCGCAGCGAAAATACAAAATGAGGCAAAACTTAAATTATAATAGTTTAACTAAATATAAAATTCAGAATTATCCAGATAATCTTACAAAATCAAATTGATCAATGTTTTCCGAGAGACCTTAATAAAACTGAGCCTTACAAGTTAAAGAATCGATTGATGTGAAGTGTCTGAATGCGAAGAAATCTTTGTCATTCGAAATAATTACACTTAATCCGATATTAATTATCTTAATTAAGTTCTATTCTAAATTATAGGATGCCATTCTTGCGTAAAAAGGACTTTCGGAGGTTATTAATACGTTATTCTTTCAGTAATTTAACACGAAAGAAGTACTACAGAAAAACTCGGTTTTGAAGAAGTTTAAACGTTTTTTGCACCTCATTAACAGTCCTGAAATATTATGATGTATCCCGTTGAATGATTTAGATCCTGGACGGACTATTTTATATAATTAATTGCCACTTTTCGCCTAACGGACGGCTTCTAATCGCTGTAAACTCCAGATTTGTTTCTTTAGGCCCGTCTAGATCTATCAATTGCCAGGGTTCCGGTTGGTTTTTCTTCTTTTCTTTATTTATTTACCCAATTAAAGAGGACTTGGATAGTTTTACAAAAGATGGCCTAGAGGCTACGAATCGGCAAGACTTCAGTTCGAAGAGTCCCATTTAATAATTACTAGAAACCGAGTTAAAATACTTACCTTTGTCTTCAGGTATTAATCCCACAATGTATTTGTATGCTTACAAGATAACGTTATGTTTCTATTGTTTGCACGATTGCACGTCGTGCACGATCGCGATGAATGGTTTACATGTTGTACAAACCGTAGTATTTATATTATTGTTATGATTTTGATTTATAGATTCGGTGGCGTGAGGTAAGTTGCCTTCGAATTAGCGAACCATCGATGCGGCCAGCCTAATGTGGGATATTCACGTGATTTCCAGTAATAAATATCACGGAGAATAATGCATAACGGATATAACAGAAACAAGTAGCTAGTGGGCAAAAATACTCTAGAAGTGATGTTAGTTTAATTATTAATAACTTATTATATCTATTCTTCAAACCAATAATCTAACTGTGATGTCCAATTACTTGGATGGAAATTCAGCTAATAAAAAACCGAATTATTTGAAATTTTTAACGGTTAATATGTTTTATTAATTATGCAGACATTTAATTAATAAAATAAATAAATAACTCAGAAAATTTATTGTTTAATTGTCATTGGATAAGCCTTTTCAATTAGAAATGAAGCCTAGATGTAAGTAATTCTACTAATCAATTTTCGAATTTGTTTGGTGTTTATTTCTATCTATAATGGATTTTTCTTACGAATTTCATTAAAAAATTGAATTTTAAATATTATTTCAGTCAATTTACATGTATGAATTGTCGTAGAACAAACGAGTACAAGATTAATGAAACTGTATCTTTGTGTTTGTAACTCTTAGAAAATTGTTCTTATAAATGTATACATTTTAATGTTGATTATTTCATTAAGTATTGCTGCTTTAACTAGTGATTTTTATTCGATAATGTTTATGGATTCGGAGATAACCAACATCGCAATGATCCTGTAATGATTTTTGCAGTTTATACTAGTAATTTTGGTCACTCTTATTGCTTGTAGGTAACCTATTAGATCCAATTGCCTGTACTAATGATTGATGTAGGTTAGACTTTAATGCCTATATCAATGATTTTGGTTGCCTCAAAGGTTTTTATTAATAATTCTCGAGTTTTATGCTTTTTAATAATGAATTTTTCATTCTGAAAGTTTAAAATAATTTTTTCCTCTAATTAAAGTTATCAAATAGTTTAAGAATTTGATTAAAATGTAGTAGGTAGGCCTGATTCATTACATAAATTTCTATAAAGATATCTAAAATAATAAATTCCAATATTGCCATAGGCTTTTAATTGTAGCTGTACGAATAACTTTAAAATTCATTTAAATATAAGTTACATTTAATTGTATGAATTTATATTATCAAATGTGTTAATTAGAATAGTTATAATTTTAATTAAGATTATAGAAATTAATCAGCATATCAACGCTGTTTTTATATTATTGAATACCTTATATAAAATCTTACAAATGATAATTGTTTGATGTTTGCTTAGGCCTAGATTTATTAATAAATAAGTTAAATCCATCATCTAATTCAAGTTTGTAAACACGATCAAGTATTTACATTCCTCTTCTTCAAGTAGTTAAACATGCGTAAATTGTGTTAAGTAATTAATCATATCTTTCTTATATGAGGTTATTTTAATATAAAATTAACTAGTTGATTACATTTTTCTTACTTAAATCGATAATATTTAAGTTCTAACGAGGCAAACAGCATTAAATACCTTTCGTTTCTGAAAATATTAAAATTTTAAAAATGGCTATTAAAAGTTTAAGAGTGAGAACATTTATAAAATTTCGCATTTTATGCGTAGGAACTGGAGAAAAATTAATTGCTTCGATGTATCTTTGTATGTTAAGCGCGAACAGAAAATGCTGAATAATACCCGAATACTCTCTATAAACAAATAAATAAATACTTTTTGCAGTGACTAAATTATAAATGAACTGGAAAATAAAAAGTAATAGAATATTATCATTACATTTTCGAAATAATCCTTTTAGATTTAATCCAAAAATTTAAGCATTAAGTTGAGCGAATTTTTCTTTTCAATAATTGTTTAGAAAAGAGCAAAGTCAAGCGGTTAAATTCTTCAAAAGTCGACTGGTCTGACTGTCCGCAAGAGTGCAACAAAAGCCAAAGATCGAACCTTATTGTTAAGCATTGTTACTGGTTTCGGTAGGAGGTCCTGTTCGACCTCCAAACTTATAACTTGAAATCCTCCTTATGCATTAAGAACACAAACTAATCCTATACTCTGTTTACAACTTCGAAAATCAGACAGATAGGATTATTTTATACATTTGAAAACAGTCTAGAACTTAACAGTTTTCGTCTGGACACACGCCGTTTACCACCATTAGCATGTGATTGAATTACTATTGCCTGACTGATGCTGTCAAAGATTTAAAGCATTTAACATTGTGTTTAAAGTAAATAATATAATTAACACAATATTTTATTTTAAAATATTCGAAAGAGTTAAGAAAAATTGTAGATAAATTCTAGATTTACTCTTAAAACATTTCAATCGAATTCTATTAAAAATTGGCGATAAAAATCGACGTCAATTTTAAATATTTAAAATAATCAACATCAAAATTTAGTATTCTCTAATTGATAATTATTATTATATTGTAATTAAAATTCTGGTTTAATTTGAAATATTTTTTATTCGTAATGAAATGCATTTTAAGCGTATAAGAAAATTTCCATTTTAAAATATTTAAGATTTACATCACGAAATGTTATTAAATCGAATAGAATAATTTCCATAAATTTAATTTATTAATTATTTAAATATTATAAGAATTTATTGAAGAATTCGAATAATAAAACTAGCAGAAAAACTTAATTTACCGTTAAATGCAGCAGCTATACTTTCGCATTATATTTATCAGCGAGGGGCGTAGACTCGAATTCAACCGGACAGGCCCGTTTATTGTCCATTATCTTTTATCCTTTCGAGTGTCGAATATTACTAAATCGAACATTTCAAAAAAAAAGCGTCGAAGGAACCGCCANAAAAAAAAAAAAAAAAAAAATTCACGAAATGTACAAATACGTCAGGAAATCGAGAAGATTTAAACGAATCGGGAGGCCCGAAATATATATAATTTATAATTATCTGCCACTCAGTTGTTGTTTAACAGTTTTATAAAGAGTAACAATTGTGTACGTCGACGATTTGTACCTGTATCAAACGTTTTACGTAATGTAGAATAGGTGAAAAGGTATTAGGTCTACGGTAAATTTAAATTGTGACGAGGCACGAGCCTTACCTTCTGTTAAGACGAGTAGTTTATCGGGCATCTTAGCCGAGCTCTTCTTGGCCAGTTAGTACCACGGTCAACCGGTGCAGGGCCTAGGCGGTACTGCATCAGACAGCTACTGTGCTTGGGTGCGAGCGACTGCTGGCTTCGGTAGCAACTCTGCCGTTCTGTTCTGTGACTTTCCGGCCGACTGCCACCGGTGTCCCGGATGTAGAAGAGCCTCTGCTTGTTTTACTTAAACGTCCAATGCCATCCGCAGTACCGTCACGTGGCCGGCCGCCCCGAACGCGTGCACTCGTAATTAATGGTAGATAAAGGTAGCATCGGCGATTGGGAGTCACCGGACGGTGGTCGATGTGGCCCCAAAGGGGTGCCACCCCACCCAACACCCACTTTAGCGTGGGTGGCGACTTTTTGTTTACCAAACTCTTAAAATGCTTTATTCCTCTAGTTAATTTTTTTGAATTTAAGCGTCCATGCTCGAATCGGTTGCAGTTTGTGGATCAGCAGGAAGTTTTATGCGTGCCTGCTCGCTTCCCGCTGAGTGGCAGGAACGGGCTCTCTCCAGTAGGTGGCAGCACATGCCGGCTGAAGTTTGTCAACGTCAGAATCCGGCCTCCCCCTTACTGTTCGGTGTCAGGTTGTTTAATTGTCAAAAGGACAGACAATAGCGCAGATGTCTTTCGTTCGTTCGTCCTCTGTTCCCGGTTAGAGACGGATTAACCGATTTTGTATCGAACACGGCTAGGCTAAATGCCGCTTCTACCGTGCGAACAACGGCATTTTCACCCCTTAAGTCATTAAGACTTCTGTATTGGATCTTTCAATGCAATTACACGAGTATTTTAACATCATAATTTTGAAACACAGATAAAATTAATTCGCCGAATTCTATATATAATCAATATACATTAATGTATCGGTACATTAATTTTTGACATAAAAGTGCGAGTTTATCTTCCATTCTATTGTAATAAATTTATAAAAATTATTCAAAATAATTAAATAGTTTTTTAGAAATTTAGACAGAAAATTTCTATAAACCTGGAAATTAAAATAAACGATAAACAATCTTGAATTTATAGACTAAATCTTATGAAACACTAAATTCTAACTGAACAAACGAGTAAAACTAAGAAAAAACCCCGATTTAAACGATAAAATTAAAAAAAATTTCTAAATTATTATTGCATCTGTTAGATACTGAAATTATGCAGTTGACTGGTGATAAACAGGCCAAACTGTTAGCGAAATAAAATTAAAAAGTAAAAAAAAACTTTACAAACGTCTGATTAGTCAGCGGCCATTATTAGTCAGTAACTTATAGGTGCATTGTTTCGTCAGAATAACGCGCTTTTTTGTGTCAATTTGACGTCATTTTCATAATTTTTTTGTAACGAGGAAGTGTGAAAATGACGTAAAAGCGTACATTGTTTTGACAAAACGAATGCGTCCTTTGATTCGAAACTCGATTCGTTCGTCCCTAGTTCCTTTTGGCACGTTAAAAAGATTACGAATAAATGAAAAAATACGTTCTCGATATTTTCTTCAGTAACATTTTGAGTGTTTGATCGTTCAATTTTAAAAAAAATTCCGAATTTTCACTCGTAAATTGAAGTTATACGTGTAAGGAAGAGCCAAGAGCCACTTATTGCGCTCATATTGGATAAAATGCTAATTTTATGAGGGCAGATTGGGAAAGCAGCGTGGTTCCGATGATGGCAAGCGGCGTCGTTTCCAAACTGATATAGACGTCTGCCCGAAAATGACGCCGCTCGGACCACCATAATGGACACCCACGCTCCAACTAAGACACCCCGGGTGAGGACCACGGCTCCGAAACGATGCTTCGTGAAATATGTCGAATAACATCACCATATCATTATCATATTTAAATAAAACTATACCCAGAAATCTTCGTTGTTAAAATATTCGTTACGTTATCCTGTATCAATTATCCGGCTACTATCCACCGAGTATTGAGTTTAGCCCACAGACATCCGATAAGAACATGCTTTAGAAGGCACACTAAATTTAATTGCGAGTTTTTAAGCCTATAATTACCTCTAAATACATTGAAAAATTGTTTAGATGAAATAGTCTATAAATCGAGTTTATATATTTTTTGGTGAATTAGTAGATACACAACTTATAATTTTATCCTTGTTTTATTCCAAATCTCTAATGAAATAAGTCTAATTATTTAAATTTTCTGAAACAAATTTAATGTATTATTTTATTTTCTTAATATTTATGAATTTGATACTTTTTTTAGTTGCTAGTCAAAAGATTAAAACATTTTTTTCTAATTTTTTAAGTAGTATCTTTATGACAATTCTAGCAGTTTCAATAGGTTTTCTTTATGAAGTAAATAACAACTACCCATAACTTCATTTACTTTTGTGATTTTTCCTGTAGCAGAGTTGAATTAGGCCTAAAGTGAAATTTATTTTAAGAGCACACAAGACATAAAGGCCGAGAGATATAATAAAGCTATTAATGCCTGGTCTATGATGCTATTTTATACTTTAATATTAACGAAAGATATGAGCAGAACTGGACTTAGATTTGTTATGGCCATAAATTATAACAAATAATGATGTGTGTAAAAATATGAGACCCTAAACTATAGACTCATAACGCGAAGCCCCAAGCAGCAGCTTGTTTAGCTCATGTATAAATCCGATCCTGGATATGAGCAAAGAAAAAAAAAAAAAAAGGTTTATCATATTGCCTAAATTCTCCCCTGCTTAAAAGATTCAAATGATATTAGCATGAATATAAAAGAAATCCAAATTTATTTTTCAGACTGTATTAAATTTAAGCTTATATATTGCCTGTATTATATAAGTAAATATTGGGCATTGCATAAGCCTGTAACTCCTATGTCAACGATAAATGTATTGGTTTATAAATCTTAAAATACCAATCAAATTGGAAAATACAATGGATTTTTATAAAAATTTGAATTCTAATTTGGAAAAAATGACTGAAAACCGAGGTTTTAGTAAATTTTGATAACGTATTATATAGAAACAGATAGACGATATAAAATACATTTATGTGGTAAAGGATCATTCATCACAGAAGCCGAGCACGAAGGATATCTCCAATCTGGAAATTTATAGAACTGGGATGTTTGCACGCGTCATGGTCGAGTAGAAGCACCTTCCGAACAACCCTTGACACCGCATCACGTATTTAGATACATAGATACCGTAAACGCGTGACGTTACACGTGGCGTGCGTGAGCTACCCATTGGAAAACACGTACTGGCCACAAACTCCGATTAGAGAGAGGGCCCGAGATCTCTGACCCTCCCTTCGGTGATTAGCAGACTACAGAAAAGAGGAAAAAAAGTGCAAAGCCCGGGGCTAATTTTTATGTAGTATAGATAGACATATTATTAGGAGTTTAGAAAAACACTGCATTCATGGAAACATCGTGACTTTAACAATAGGTCATCTCAGGCGTCGGCACCTTATGGTTGTTGCAGCTATTATAAAAATTGCGCTCAAACCGATCGTTTTACTCCCAAGATTTTTAAGGATGATCCACAGAGATACGACTGGATTATGGCAAAACCCAAAATTTTGAGGTTTCTTTGGAATTTGCCCGATTCCGGGTTGGCCATTGTCCAATTGCAGCTTATCTATATCCGGGATATATTCAAGTACCGTAATTGGTGCGGTTAAAATTTTTTGCGGTTTCGACGAATAAGATCAGCTTCGGGCATTTTCCCATTTTATGAGAAACTCGAAAACATAACAATTTAATTTAATCAAATTCAACTGGGGTCCTCCAGCTCGATTTTTCATGCGATTAAGCAAAGCTAAGATTAGTATGAAACTCTAAACTGTTAATTATCAACACTTACATTTAGATGCAAGAATTTCTTCTGAGGAGCTCATAACAACTAGACATCAATAAATAATTGTACAGACAAACACTGAATAGAATCCAGAAAGATAAAATACTAAAATTCAACAGTTAAGAAGATTTTATTTACTTTCATTTAGGCCTATATGATTGTGTGAACGTGCTTACATAATTCATAGACCTACATGAAAATACTGCATTAAGAAATCTGCTTAAACATTTGGATTTCATACGTATTTACACTAAACAATGTTGCAGTAGGCCTGCACGATTTTTTGGAATCGTGGAGTAAGAGATGAGAATTTCAATTGGAATTTATAAAGGCGAGCGCGACGAGACCATCTGCTAAGATTACTTGAAGCAGAGGAAATAAAATAATGAGCATAAACCGCCGAACAGATTAGTTTTGTGCTCTCCGAGATTATAAAACTATTGACTATCTCGTAAATTTCCGACGCGGTTCCCAATGACGAATGTGGCTATTTACGTGCAAAAATGAAAGTGCAATTTTTATGCAAGCCAGAGGCAAAACGGCGAGTTATCGCTAACATCACGCACAACTTTTACAACCGTAGGTCTGTGTCTTTGCAATAAATAAATACACGTCTATAGGTTTATTTCGTATCCGCCGAAATTCCTATTATAGGGTGCGCACCCTCGGACTTGGCCTTAACAATAGGCGCAGCGATGACCACGGATGAAGTAGCAGGCGGCGGCGAGAGTCGTAGCCGTGCACGCGTCACGTGACCTGCACGCGAGGTCATAAGGGTCAGATACTCACGTGATTGCCACCCCTACCTGTGGGTGCGTCATGCAGGTGAAATCCGGTTGGAAGTTCACGTTTTCACTGCCAGCTATGTGATCATTTCCTTATCGCACTAGTTATTAGATATTTCTTATACGGTTGCTCGCGATGAATGCCTTCCGGGCTTGGAATCTCCAGGCTGCGCTGTGCACGATGATCTATGGTGCTTCTGACTCCGAGCCGGTAAGGCCGCATTATTAACTATGCTATGGCTCGAGACGGAGGATGGCTGCCACCTCCAGAAGACTAATTTTTCCGTTTAGTTATAAAACAGTCGATGGAATGAAGTCGGAGGAAAATTTGCATATAGCGAAGAAGTGTAATTGCCTACAGAAAGAGGACGAACTGACGTCACCAGTGAGGGTTGGAGGCGGATTGGCAAGAAAGTAGAAGGCATCGCCCTAGCTCGGAGGTAGAATTAATGGTCATACATAACATCTGATTAAAGTGTATAAGCGAAATTAATAAGGTCCGTTAAGCATTAATATTCCATCCCTGTTAGGGGAGGAGATTCACGAGAAAGAGTTACTCGTGTGGTGGAGGAAGTAGGCAGCGGGCATCTAGAACGCCCCTGCGCCTCTAGCTCTACCTGATCTTAAATTATGCGTCTTATGAGAATTTTTTCATATTTTTAAATTTCAAAAATTAGCATTAATAAAAATACTTTAAATATTGTATTCTCTTCACCTTCAACCCTGATTAGTCATAATGAATGTGGATCATTTCTTCACATTGAAATCAGAGAATGGATAATTTGATGAAAAGACATTTCATTTATTTCTTATGTCAG